CATACATACATACATACATACATACATACATACATACATACATACATACATATATATATATAACAATTAAAAATTTACACTTGCTTTCACTGAAATCGTCAGTAGATTTTTGACTCTGATACTACCTAAGAGGGTGATTGTAAAGCAGGACACGTGAAAGTTTAGCAGAAATTATATTTTAAGCCCTTGCTTAGATGTGTTATTGTGCAATCTTTCCCAATCTGTTGTGATCCAGGATATGATGTAGTTGACAACCATTCCTTCAGTCTTCACCCAACAGAGTCTGGAATTCCACATTAGTTTTTTGTTCTGGTTTGGTCCATCAAGCTGAGTGCTGAAAGTTGCCTTTGTAGCAACTTTGCCTGCAACAAAGGCAACTTTCAAGTGTCAGGCTTGTCCCGACTTGAAATTTAGGAAAGAAAGACCCTAGAGTCCTTTTTTTTTTTTTTTGTAGTTAAAGGTTAACTTTTACTAAAGATCGAGCAGTTACAGCACAAGCAAATCTGGATCTGAATATTCCCGCGGAAAGCCTGCATTTACCCCTCTTCCCTGGTCCTCCCCCCCTTGACCAATCCCTTCAGGGTCCAGGGAAATGTGAATCAGGTATTTTGGGAATGGCTTTGAGGTTTGGAAACTTCTTTGGTGGAGCTCTCACAGCTTCGTCCTTGATCAGCCAGTCTGTTCCGGATTGGCAGCTCTGCTTCCTGTCAACCCTATCATTCCCCCTCTCCTACCTCTACCCCCTTCCCGCGTTTCATGGCAGGACGCCAGCGAAGCGAAGATTGTTGAAGATGGCAGACCTGACACTGAAGATTATTCTGGTTGAACGCAGAATTTGAATCCTTCTGTTTTATCTACTGCCTCTGACCAGCGGCGCTGCAGCATCCTTTCTAACAGTCTGGGGGGGGGGGGGGGGTTTCTGACCCCTCTGGCACTTGTGACCCCACTCTTCTTCCCCTGCAGGCTTAGTAAGATCACCAACCGCTTGACCCTTCAGCGAAAGAGTCAGTTCATGCAGAGGTTGCACAGTTATTGGACTCTCAAGAGGCAATCACGCAATGGAGTCCCTTTGTTGCGGCGGCTCCAAACGCACTTGCAATCCCATAGGAATTGCGAACAAGGAAGGCCAGCTCCTCCTCCTCCCGTGGCCAAGACTGAGCAGGTATGGCTTTCCCTTGAGTTTTCGGGCAAGGGTGGACGAAAAGGGCCTGGGTGTCCCCGCTGCGGAAGAGCCCTTGCTACCCACTGGGGTGCACCTAGCCCAAAAGCAAGGGCTTTGTCTGTTTGTTTAACCAATTGGTACGGCTCCCCCAACTCAAAGTTGCAGCTTAAAAACGTAACCGCAAAGCCAACAGTCACACAGAAAGAGCATAGCGTGACCGAGGCCCAACTCGCCGCCAGGTTTTCCAGCCATTCCCAAGCGGCGCCTCCAGCCAGCCTTGCCCAACGGCTCAGTTTATCCATCGGTTTCTCCGGGCTGGATGGGTTGCAGCCACGTGGGCTGGCTTGGGAACCGTTAGTCAAGAGGTTCTCTTGTTCGACAAGGCCTCATAATGGAGCGGGGGGGGAAATTTAATTCAGCTTTCAAAGCCAGGTGAGCTGGAGGATTAGCTGCCAAGGACTTGTATTTTGCAGGTAGGAATCCCCATGTTCAGTCCTGGCAACTCCTCCTAGAGAATCATGGAACGGGAGGCCCACTTCCTCTGAGATCCTGAATACTGTACGGTAGTTACTGCTCAATGGTAGATAGTGAACCAGCAGAGTTAACTTGATGTCAAGTTGTTAGTGCCTCGCACTTTCCTTCCTTCCTCTGCGACAAAGGGAGGGAGGGAGAAAGCAAAACAAGCTTCCCCGAAAAGTGGGCCTGCCACATTCTGCCCGACACGGCTGTGGCTTTTGCCGTGCTCCACTTCCTTTTGGGCTCCTGGCCGCGATTTTGGCAGGAGCTTGGATTTGCTGCTGTTCTATAAGCAACGGCAGCCTGGCCTTTGGCAGGGATGCCCCTTCCTCTCATAGACTCTGATGTTCCTGCAGCGAGATAACACAGAGGATAAGAACTGGGCCCTGAAAGAGCAGCTGAAGTCCTGGCAGCGCCTCCGCCACGACCTGGAACGAGCGCGCTTGCTGGTGGAGTTAATTCGCAAGAGGGAGAAGCTCAAGAGAGAGACGGTAACTGTGCCAGGGAAGGGAGTTGGGAGGGGGAGGGGAAGCCATGGGTGTTCTCCTCTGAATAACTTTGGGGACGGGGGGGTGGGGGGGGAGAAACGGGAGTAGGATGCTCCCAGAATACCTGCAATTGGGGGCTTTTTAGGGAAAGGAGATGGCGGCGTTTTGCACTCTAGGCCTTATTAAATTGGAGAACGACACTGAAAGAGGAAGGCATGACGTTTCCCTGGGAGAATAAAGGAAACAGCAGAAGGCAAGGAATTCAACCACAAAGAAGGGTTTGCTTTGTTTTGGGAGGGGGGAGGGTAAAAAAAAAGGGGGGGGTTCCATTCGATTTGCATTTAGAGCCGTGGTGGCGCAGTGTTTCCAATGCGGCATTGCAGGCAAACTCTGCCCACAGCCAGGAGCTCAATCCTGACCGGCTCAAGGTTGACTCAGCCTTCCCTCCTTCCAAGGTCAGTCAAACGAGGACCAAGGTTGTTGGGGGCAACAGGACGACTCTGTAAACGGCTTAGAGGGGGGCTGGAAGGTCCTGCGGGGTGGTATACAAGTCTTGAGCGCTCTCGATTTTTAGGAGGTGTTTGTTTTCGTAGATTGCCCTCTACCTGCTCCCAGGCTGTTTTCCATGATGCGAACAAAGCCTGCTCTGGGCTGTGCATACTACAACTTGGCCTCTCCTTGGGGAGTAGCTTTCAGCCCAGTGTCCCTGGGGGCTGAGTGCAGGTTCACTTGGGGTTTCACGAAAACAAGTTCAGTCGTATCAGGCAAGCTGCCCAAAAGGCAGCTTGTTTATTAGACTGACAATGTTCTTGCAGCGCATCATTTCAGGCGTCGTGAGCACTTCTGAGGTAAGCGCTCAGCTCATGAGGGGCGGCGAGAAGGCTTTGGGGGGGGCGGCGTGTTACCTCCCTATATAAATAGAGAGCAGCCAGTTGATATATAAAAACACTCCCTGGGGTTAGAAAGTTTGAACTTGGTTTTGTATTGGGTTAGAGATTGCACTCTTGTACCGTGTTTCCCTGAAAATAAGACCCAACCGGAAAAGAAACCCCAGCGTGATTTTTCGGGATGCTCGTAATATAAGCCCTACCCCCCAAAATAAGCCCCGGTTAAGATTGTCAGCCAGGCGGACGCATTTAGTACCGCATTTCCCTGAAAATAAGATATCACCTGAAAACAAGCCCTATAATATACGGCTTTTGGAGCAAAAATTAATATAAGACCCAGTCTTATTTTGGGGGGAAACACGGGTATTTATCAGGTTTGTGGGCACAGATCTCAGAGAAACCGATACGGATTTGCTAACGTAAGACAAGATGCTGTTTGTGCCCTTTGAGTTCGGCCTCCATTTTGGGCCCTCCTGCTTTCTAACCCCCCAGGGTGATTCAGAGGCCCCAAGGTCACAATGGCAGAGTGTTTGGCCACCGCGTGCTCAGTAGCACCTTCCCTTCCCTTCCAGATTAAAATCCAGCAAGTGGCCCTGGAGGTGCAGCTGACTCCCTTCCTCATCCTCCTGCGCCGGACCCTCGAGCAGCTCCAGGAAAAGGACACGGGCAACATCTTCAGCCAGCCGGTCCCGCTGTCTGAGGTAACAGAACTCTACGAAGTAAGAACCCCTCCACCCCCAATTTATCTTTTGCTCTGTTCCCATCCAGCCAAGGGGTTGGTCTTGCGGCTTGCCGGTCCTATCCTCTGCCCAAGATACTGCACACACACACACACACACACACACACATCCTCACGGCTAGGCCCAAGCAGATACATGTGCCAGGCCGGCTAGTAGCGTCCTGGTCATAATCCTGAATGTGAGAAACCTTAGAAAATCAGGCCCGTTGGCATAAACATACAATGCTGCTCCTTGTTCGGTGTGCAATAATAATGTGGATTTTCTCATGGTCTTGGAAGAGAAGGCTTGGGCTCAAGTGTTTTTTTTAAGTATGCATTCCTATCCCAAGTCGTATATTTAGCCCCAGAATCTATACCATGGCATGGACATGACCTGTGCATCCCTGCAAGTGCTCTTCCTGTGACTCTTTAGCCCCTGTTTTCAAGCCTGGTATCAGTGGATGACCATTCCTTTCTAGTTTGGGCCCTCTTTTCAAAACGAAAGCACCATTAGGAGGTCCCTGTCTTGGTTCCTTTATCTATCTATCTATCTATCTATCTATCTATCTATCTATCTATCTATCTATCTATC